TTTTGGACCCCGGAACTCTCAGGACCGGGCTTGGTGAAAGTTAATCACAAAACTGGATATAATTACTTTTGTGATTGATTTAATATTTTTAAATTCTTATATTAAGAATATGGTTAGGCCTCGTTTGGGAACAGACTATTTTAGTAACTTTTTGACTTTTTACGAAAAGATGTGTAGAAAAGTAGAGAGATGATGTGACTAGTTTTAGTTGACTTTTTGGCTAAAATAATGTTTGTTTGCGGAGTGACTATTGTAATTATTTTTTAGTTAAAATATGTAGTGAAAGTAGAAAAAAGTGTTTGGGAATAATTTTTTAATTTTTTATGAATTTTAAGAAAATCTAGGCAAAAGGAGAGGAATATTTAACTCTTTTTTTATGACTTTTTAGTATTTATTTATTTTTTGTGACTATTCTATCATCTTTACCAATAAATCTTGTTCTAATTTTAATGATAAATTTATCACTATAAAAATATTTTAAAAATTATAATTCAATTGCTTATACTTCTCACATCATATTTCAATACAAATTAGCACAAATAAATTAAAATAAATCACAAATAAAATCCAAAATATCTCAATCTTTTATCATTTTGATAAATTTCTCAATATCTTTACTAGTACCAAATGATCATTATTATACAAATACAAAACATATATTTAGAAAATCTCATAATTTTTTCATTATCAAAATGAAAGTCAAATACATAAAAAATAATAATAATAATAATTAAAAAAAATAGATGAGACTTAGAATTATCTCCTTCTCATTTGAAAGCAAATTGTCTTTCCAAGTTTTCATATGGACTCATTTGGATTTTTTTTTTCTTTATTTTAATTTTCCGAACTTTTAACAATTTTTGTATATATAAAAAAATGTAGGACCAAAAAAACATTAAAAAATGAAAGAAAACACAATTTCCAAACTGAGGCCTGTTTGGGCCCAATTTGTTAACACCATACGAAACTTTTTCGTAGGTCGGAGAAAACACATCACCTCTCTTTGTTGTTCAACAGGTTCCACTGCCATTGGAGAACTCGAAGAGTTTCACTATTTTTGTCTCTCAAGTCAGCAATTTTAGCTACTGTCTACAATTGAAGATCGCTTGGAAGCTCTTCAAACAGTACCATTTAGGGTTAGGCATAGGGTCATTTGATTTGTAAAAATTGTCAAATCTGATACGAACTAAACATATGCGGACGGTTTCAAACCTGCAGTAGGGTCGCATGCAGTTCTCAATATTGCTATGTTACGGGTTGTAGGTTTTACCCACACTTACGTACAGTGGCAGAGTCAATAAAATAAATCAGAGGGGACACTTCTTAATTACAACATTAAAAATATTTACAAAAATATTTCACATAAATTTTTACGATTGACTTCAAGAGAAATTTTTAAAAAAAAATCAGTGTGTTTAATTTGTCTACAATTGAAGATCGCTTGGAAGCTCTTCAAACAGTACCATTTAGGGTTAGGCATAGGGTCATTTGATTTGTAAAAATTGTCAAATCTGATACGAACTAAACATATGCGGACGGTTTCAAACCTGCAGTAGGGTCGCATGCAGTTCTCAATATTGCTATGTTACGGGTTGTAGGTTTTACCCACACTTACGTACAGTGGCAGAGTCAATAAAATAAATCAGAGGGGACACTTCTTAATTACAACATTAAAAATATTTATAAAAATATTTCACATAAATTTTTACGATTGACTTCAAGAGAAATTTTTTAAAAAAAATCAGTGTGTTTAATTTGAGTTTTTTGAATTAAGTTTTTTATTTTATTTTTTATTTTTTTTTTCATTTTTAGTGAATATTTTTAAAATTTTAAGTATTTTTTTTTATACTTTTTTAGATACATTGATGTATCTAAAAAATATATATATATTTGTGAAAAATTATTTTAAAAAATTAATAAATACATAAAAATACGAAAAATGTATTGATTTTTTGTATTTTTTTAATATTTTTAGTATTTAGTGAATTTTTTAAAGATTTTTTCGCAAAAATTATACTTTTTAAGCATATTTATATTAGGTGTGTCTAAAAATTAAAAAAATTGCTTAAAATATTAAAAAAATTCAATAAAAACAAAAAAATACGAAAAACAAAAGCGTAGACTTTTTTAAAAAGTGTTTTTAGAAAACTCAAACCAAACAAAGTGAATATGTTATTTGTAATTAGTATATCATGGACAACATTAAAAAAAGTCATAGATATAAAGCTTTAAAATAAATTATATAATGATAAAGTAATTTTTTTTATACAAAATATGTGTAAAAATTCAATATAATAGTCATACCACGCAATCATTGACATGTGATATTACCAATCAATAATAAAGAAACACATGAAGGGTGAATCCTGCATATTAAATGTAACTTAACAATTCAATAAATTCTATATTTTCATTGAAATTAATTATGTTTGCATATCAATAATGATAGAGATTACCATTATATTGAAATTTTCGTAGATAATAATATTGTAGTCTCTTTATTTTCAATCAAAACAATAATTATTGTTCTTATTATTTTAAAAATATCATTGACATTTCACTCTAAATAATATTTTTATAATTTATTTTTATATAAAATATTTTCTTTAAAAAAAAAATTTCAAAATCATATGAAAGATTTGTGTTAAATTTTACGATCAAATTTTGTGCACGTAAAATAATTGTAAGGAGTAGGAGATGTTTCTAGGTTTTTACACCTACCTGCACTTTTTTTCTTTTCTTTTCAACATGGAGTCAGGATCTGGACCGTCAATCTTGCATATTATTTTAGGGGATTTGGTGATAGACCCCTCACTATTTAATTTGTCTTTCAAAATGACAAGAATTATATAGATCCTTTCAAAACTCTCTAATATTTTAAAACTTATTTTTTTTACTATACTACCCTTATATATATATATATATATGTATGTATATATTTATCGGCCCTCTTGTAAAGCCATCCTCACAATATATTTCAGAGTAAAATTTTACTTTGAATTTACTCTGATTCAAAGTAAAATTTTACTCTAAATCAAAGCAAAATTTATTATGATTCAAAGTAAAATTTTATATCGTTAAGTAAATCAACATGTTTTTAACTAGAGTAAAATTTTACTATTACAAAAAATAAAATGCATACTAAATGAACGAATCAGAGTCAAGTTTTAGTTTTAGATCTACGAACAAATAAATTTTTTTTTAAAAAAAACGCCAATTGATATGCATTTTTGTTTACTCTTTGTACACTCCAACTCCAATCATACCGATGTTCTCCAGCTCAAACAGATCAAAGCTCACACAACTCATATAATCATTCATGAAAATCTCTCAATTGATATGCATTTTTGTTCTTCATTGTTGTAGTCTTAGAGATTTTTCGAAGAATAGGTATCGACATAAGACTCGAATTGTCTCCGTAGATATATTTGTGTCCGTAGGGATAAGAATCTTTGTTGACGATGACTGTAACAACATAGAATCTCACAAACCTCTTCGATTTGGCTCTCGAAACAGGAGTTTTGCTCAAGTAAGATGATCTTGAAAATGAATAAGACAACGAACACGTTGTGGTATCCTTTACCGACTTTGATCTTCGCACCAAACTCAAATCCTTCATCATCATCGTTGCTTTACGCTTCACAACATTCGTTACATTTCTCGAATTAAAGATTTAGTTGAGAGTATAATAGTCAGATAAAATATTTAAATAATAAATTTTGTCATTTAAACAAAACTTTTTAATTATGAGAGGGTTTTGAAAGTTTTTTTTTTTGAGTTATTTTAACAAGAAAATGAAGGTGAGAAAGGGTTTACTAGAAAAATAAAAAGAAATTTAAATATTAAAAAAAACTTACTAAAGAAAAAAAAAATAAAAACATACTGATTCAAACACGTTATATTATCAATTCTGAAATGAAAAGTTTACTTTCGTCTTTAGTGAACTTTTTTTTTTTAGTTGAATTTGTTTTTATTTTTTTAGCTACATCTAATCTAAATGCATCTAAAATGTAATGATGTTTATGAATAAATTTGAATTTTTTTTATTAAAGACTAAAAAAAAATTTCAATTTTTTTATTTTTTATTTTTTACATTACATACGGTGCTGATGTGTTGGTGATGTGACATATTCTGTTAATCTTTTGAATGGAAATTAGTTTAGAAGCAAAGTAGGAAGGATTACAAATATAAAGGGTCAACACGGAAAATTTAAATTTAAAGGGTCAAAGTATGAAGAATTCCAAATATGGAGGGCCAAAGTAGAAATAATTATAAATATGAAAGGTTAAACCATCTTCAACGCTTCATCAAATTTGGCATCAGATTTGAATTTTGGTGAAAAAGTCACTTTTTGGTGCTCAAATGGTTTCAGCAAATTGGTATCAAATTGAAAAAATATCAAACATTTCACCAAACTGAGGACGGCTCGCTTTTTTCACCAAATCACTGTGCATAGCCGTTACAGCAGAAAATTGTGAAAATTTTACACATGGTAGTTGACCACCTGGTCAACCACCCGGTTGACCAACCGGTCGACCAGCTCATGCAAATGGTTCAAAAATTGGCCTGCGAACTGGTTCATATGGTTCAAATTATTAGTTCAAACGGTTTTAAAAAAATTGAACAAACGGTTAGGTAGGTCCAAACAGTTCAAAAAGGGTTTTTTTTTTTTTTAAAAAAAATTGTCTTACCGGTCGGCCGGCCGGTCGACCAACTTGATTTTTTTTTTGATGCACCGTTGGAGCAACTGATATCAAATTGAAAAAATGAGCCATTTTTTATTCAAATTTGATGAAAAAAATACTGAACCGTTGAAGATGCTCTTAGAGTGAATAAAACCAAACTTGAAAAGTAAAAATAGAAAATAAATGAAACTTTAGAAAGGCAAAGTGTAATTTATCTGATTTTTTAATAATAAAGGAATTTTGAAAAAATATATATATATAAAGGAATTTTGAAAAAATATATATATATATATATATTGAAAAGAAATGTAAGAGGGTTTGTGGCCAAATTTCCCTATTTTTTTTTTTTGGGTTGCCCAAGCCCTAATCCTCTTCTCTCCTCCCTCAGCAGCAGCTCTCACTAACTACTCTCTCGCTAACTATTCTCTCGTTGTTTCATCTATCTCTCTCTCTCTCTTTCTATGGCCACCGGTCGGTGATCGGCCGGCACGACGACCTTCACAACACCTGTAAGGCTGCAACACCTTCGGCAACACCTTCGGTCAGTTCGCCTCTTTAATCTGCCTAACATAGCGGCGGAAGTGCGGCGACAGAGGTGTGTTCTCACTCTCTATGGTTTCACTGTTTCGTTTTCTTTCTCTCTACAATCCTTCACTTTTCATTTTTTTTTGGTCGTGGGTTTAGGGTTGTAGGATTGAGGATTGAGGTGGAAAAGGGGTGAGGTTTGGAGGACTGATGTGGGGGTGGGGTGGGCGTGACAATGGAGGCCTGGATGTGGTTATTTATATGCATCAGGTGTTTGAGATAATGCCTGAGAGATGGGTTGTTGGTTATTTAACTTGATATGCATCTCAAGTATTTGAGATAATGCCTGAGAGAGATGGCACATACAGAACCTAATTTGGAAGATTGCTTTCACTCCCTCTATAATGCATTCAATGGTCAACAATAATAGGTATAGTTATAGTTGCACCAAAAAAAACAAAAAAATAGTTTTAGTGTTGGTGGTTGGTGACACAGCTATAATGATGGGGGAGTTGGGTGGGGATAGAAGATAAGGGGAGGACAACGAAACCGAAATTTATCATCTTGACCTTAGATTGTATATTTGGAATATAATTTTCATATACTCATTTTCTTACTATATTGAGATGCAATATATAGATATTGTTTACCTTTTCATTACTTTATTCTTATACACTATCTTTGTCAAAGAAATGATGAAGATTGAAGACTAAATAGTTCAATCCGCAAATTGCCCGCATATCCGCGAATCCTATCCACATAAACCGCAACCCACACTGCGGGTGGTTGCAGGTTCAATTTCAATTTTTCCTAAACCGCAGACATGCGGGCGGGTCCAAACCGAACGGTCTAAAACCGATCCGCGCCCACCCCTAGTACCATCGAAGTCCTACAACTTCCTCCTTCATCGTCAAAGGTATTATAAAACTCTCTCTCTCTCTCTCTCTCTCTCTCTCTATGGAACTCGCTGAACCTCAATCTACAAAACCCTAGGATGAAGCCCCCTTTTTCCCCGACCGAACCCATATCCCAACTTCCCCTATCTACGAAACTTTCTTCCCATCTGATTGAATTTGTTATAAATATGAATTGGTTGTTTTGTTTGTTGGATTTGGTACTTGTTTTGGTTATTTCAACCGCCTTTGCTCTCCAAGTAATGGATATATCTCTTAAACACTCGTTTGCCATAATGATTTGCTTGCTTAGTGCCCTGTGGTGGCTCTAGGAATTTTTGTATGGATAGTATTTTTTTTGTTTTTTGAATGGAGAAGTATTATGGGAGTTGCAGTAAATTTGAACATTCAACTATGAAAGATAGTTATATCAAACCCAACAAACATAAGATAGGCCTCAAACAAATAGAAAGGGACACACAGGTGACAGAATCGAACCTTAGTGATATGCATGGTATGGGGGTCCGAATCTGTCCCACATCGGTCTACTAGGAACTCTTTACCCACCTTATAAAGTGTGCCATACCTACAAATCTCCAAGAGGCCTTTTCTAGTGAAGGAAGAACAAAATTGTGCGTTCCCTTGTGGTACAAAGCGGACAATATCTTGATGTGTGCTACGGCAGTGGGGTGGTCCGCAAACATGGTCTCTTAGCCAATGGGCTAACTTCATAGACATTTAAAAATTAGAAGAAAAAGAAAGAAAAAAGAGAAGTTTAGAAGTTAGCAAGAGTATCTCCAACCAAAATGTTAGGTCTTAAGTGGCAACTCAAAGAGCAATATTTGGTATCTCTACAAGCTGTGGCGACTCTAGGAGTTTGTGTTAGGGTAGTCATTAAAAGTCGTAAGCATAATTGTCAAATCGGGATTCGTATCATGTATCGAAATGGCTTCATACCGAATCGCGAATCGAATCGTGAATTGTAAAGATTTGGTCACTTTTTTTAAATTACTTAAAAACATATATCTACACATTTAGATGTTAAATATATCTTATGAATATGAAATATTTAGATTTAAATCAATGAAAATATTATTTTGAATGATAATTATGTAGTTTATTAGGTAAGAAGTTAACAAAGGTTCCTATGTAAGATCACCATCTTACCTTTTTTCTTTTTTAGATATTTTTTATCAACCATTCTTAATAAAGATAATAACCAAATAGACAAACTATCAATTTTCAAAGTTAATTAACAACGATATTGATATTTGGATAATAAGTATACATACTTTTCTAAGTAACAGTGAGCAAATAATAAAAAAGAATTATTTAAAATCTTTTATTTTAAAGCCTAAATATTTTAAAAGGTATAACTGACCTCACACGTGTAATATTCAATTATATTCAATTTAATAAAATAGCAATAGATAATTCATAGTGTAACTTTAATCTTAAATATCTTTAAAAGATATATTATGATTTTTTTTAGGGAAAAAAAATGAGAAGAAATGTTAAAAATATGTTGGGTCTGATTGAATCTAATTGGATCCTATTAAAAACTCTATGATCATTAAAATAACAACAAATCATTGATATATATATATGTGTGTGTGTTGGTTATTTTGATATTAAATGCTATTAAAAGTTGTATTACGTCATTTTCACTAAAAAGATTGAGAAAAAAAAAAAGTCGAAAATATATCGGACACAATAATTTCAAAAATTGCATGCATTATAAAAAGTGAATCGAATTGTGAATCGATTGTGAATCGTGTGATTTGCTAGAGATTCATTTTCAAAATAGATTCACCCATATATTTGTATCGATTTTACAAAAATTGTGAATCAAATCGATTCAAAATTGTGAATCGAATCGCGAATCGTAAAATTCTGATAACAAGGGTCATAAGTTTTAAAATCCAATGAATACTAATCGATTTTCCCATAAAATTAAACGAATATTTATGGATAAAATTGGCTAATTTTTAATCAAATCCTAAAAAATAGGTGTAATTCAAAGAATGTAACGACATGGTGGTAAGAGCCAAAGAAGCGACATAGTAGCAAGAATAGAAGCACTCTAAAATTTATAGATAATGGAAGGAAATAGGACAAGAAAAATGCTTAAGACCTCTAAAACATGACACTCCCAAATTTACTTATATTGACGTGGACTATTGCATGCTAGTTGTTGATTTGTTTAGCAATTAATCACTCAACCCCTTGCCATGTCACAGTGGGTAAATTTAAGAATAATATTTCAACGTCTCTACTAGTATTACTCCATGAAAAAATTATGCAACTTAAAAATGAAATGTGTGGTGTATATATTAGAATAAATTTAGTCAACAATACATTTCATTTTCAGATTAATTTTTCTTTTAGTATTTAGTATTACACTATTAAAGGAAATCTTGAAGCTGTGAAAAAACAAAAAAAAAAAACTCAAGCCTGCAAGGGAATTAATTCGTGTAATTCAACCAAAGTAAAGAAGACCTTTAGCTGAGAAGTATTTCAATCTGGAAGAGCTTTATTATGCATCAATATATGAGAAACCTAGGTTCCTAATAATAAAAGAGCACTAAATTGGACCACATGTGGAGGGTGTTCAAGATAGTGTTAAGGGTGTTCAAAACAAATGCAACCTCTTCAAATTATTTAGCTGAGAAGTATTTCAATCTGGAAGAGCTTTATTATGCATCAATATATGAGAAACCTAGGTTCCTAATAATAAAAGAGCACTAAATTGGACCACACGTGGAGGGTGTTCAAGATAGTGTTAAGGGTGTTCAAAACAAATGCAACCTCTTCAAATATTATACGTACAGTAAATTATATTTCAAACTCAGGGTATTCAACTGTCTACCCTAGAGTCCATGTAGAATCGCACATGTCTACAAGTTCTAACCAAAATGCCATTTTGCTAGGTGCTATTTGACATTGCCCACCCAAGTCAAATGTGACATATGAGGAGAGGGTTGTCAAATTTATTTATTTATTTGCTTTGTTTATTATGTAAGACCCACATTAAGTGGGTTGTCTAGATATTTGAAAAAACAAATTGAAGTAAAAAAAAGATTAAAGTAAAATCAATAATAAAAAATAAATTTGGCATATTGGGTGAAGTGTTTATTTTCAGAGATGTCAAATTTAAAGATGTTAAATTGCCACATAAGCCTTTCAAAAAATTGTGGTAACTTCGAATTTTAAGGTTTGGTTGCAGATATTGCTCTCAGAAAGCAAATTTTTATTTATTTATTTATTTATTTTAAATGAAGTGGGCTAGACATAAAAAGATTATTCAAAACTTTGATGAAGTGGGCTGAAGCCATGCAGCTCATGGTGTTCTAATTTGTTGTTTTTCCAAAGTGACAAAGTGGCCCCAAGGTGTGCAAAACAAATTTTGAGAGGTGACAAGTGGTGCGTAGGTTCAAAACATTTTACAAAAGTGACAAATGCCATCCAAAAACATATACTATTACTAGTGTTATTTATTTATTTTTCCAGTATTCAGGTGAATAGCCTGAGCTCTTAGTGGCACTGTCCCCTGTTAGTTGCCTTAACATGTACAAGAACAACATGCTATGTTGGATATACATTTCAATGGAATTTGTGGGAGTTGTTAAAGATACTATATTCAGTTGTAACTTGCTTAATTATGGTGGCTGACATAAGTTGTTAAATTGATTATTTGATGTGACAGAGTTCAAAGATAAAATGGATGAAAGCTTATACGATGAATTTGGGAACTATATTGGGCCGGATATTGAGTCAGATCAGGAGAGTGATAGGGAGGAAGATGACGAAGACCTCCCTGACAAACTTGGTGATGAGGAAGATGCATCAGATGGTGAGGATGCTGGCGGTGCATCCAATGGGTGGATGACTACCACTGATGACATTGATATGGATAATCAAATTGTTCTTGCTGAGGACAAGAAGTATTATCCGACTGCAGAAGAGGTTTACGGGGAAGAAGTTGAAACATTAGTCATGGATGAAGATGAGCAGCCCCTTGAACAACCAATAATTAAACCAGTCAGGAATATTAAGTTTGAGTTGGGCGTTAAGGATTCATCTACGTATGTCTCAACCCAATTTCTTTTGGGGCTTATGTCAAACCCTTCTTTGGTTCGGAATGTTGCCTTAGTAGGACACATACACCACGGGAAGACTCTTTTCATGGATATGTTGGTTGAGCAGACCCACCACATTTCCACATTTGATCAAAACAGTGAGAAGCATATGAGATACACAGATACACGGATAGATGAGCAAGAGAGAAGAATATCCATCAAGGCAGTTCCCATGTCACTGGTTCTTGAGGATAGCAATTCGAAATCATACCTCTGTAATATTATGGATACTCCTGGTCATGCCAACTTCTCTGATGAAATGACTGCCGCTCTCAGGCTTGCTGATGGTGCTGTTTTGATTGTTGATGCTGCTGAAGGAGTAATGGTGAGTAAACCGTATTGCATCTATGTATTTTTGTAAGAACTCATGCACACTCACACACAGACACAATTGCAGAGAGTTTGTGCAACCATTTGAACTCATGAACTTCCCCAACCATTCGAGTTCTATCTTGTAAAGTTTGTGCACTGCTAAACACAGGCCATTAGGTCATTTCTCACTGCCTTGTCTCCCTTTTATTCAATCCCCCTTTCCCCCTGTGACCCTATCCTCCTAGTAAGTTTTATTATGCCATCTCACTTTATCTTACTGGTGTAATTTTTCTCTAGGTTATGTACTTGTTCATCGTACATGTCCATCTTACTGGTGTAATTTTTGGCATTTTTTGCAAAACTTAATCATTAATGAGCCACTGTCTATGTTTTTTCTTGAGGTTTTGTACTTGTCCATCTTACATTCTAATTTGTAGCTATGTTTTTTAATGTGGTTGTCTGTCTTCTAGTAGTCAATGTCTGCTATTATGAAATATGATATATTCATATTTGGACAGATAAAATGTATTTCATGGTCATGTGTAAAATCATCATTAGTTTAAATATTACACAGTTTATTAACATTATACATTAACTTAGTTGCTTCAAATTTTTTTTTTTTTTAACCCCTCATTGTTTCGCCCTAAAAATTCTATTGAATATTGGAAACCACATGTACACTGTCTTTCCTTCTGAACATTCCTTTGTCAGTTCATCCACCACTGGAGGAACAAAAGACACGGCTTAATCTTGAGCCTTATGTAAGCCTGTGGTGATTGAGTCCCTCATATTAAACCCTTTTAACCCTTTGAGTCCAATTATGTGTCATTATAGGGCGATCATTGGTCAGTACAGTACATGGAACCAACTCTATTATATGCAACCATGTCTGAATTGAATGGCATTATAGTTGCTTTTGAGACAGTTTCTTAACATGATATAACTGCTGTTTGTATTATCCCATTAGTTAATTTTGAATATGAAAATAATTCTGCCTCTTGGCTTAACTTTTATAATATTTTTTCTTCTACAGGTTAATACAGAGAGGGCTATACGTCATGCAATTCAAGAGCGCCTTCCTATTGTAGTTGTGATCAATAAAGTGATATCTTGATCCTTTTACTGCTCTAAATTACATTCTTATATACTTTTGATTGTTCCTCCATAAACTGGGGTTAATATATATGTTTTTTTTAGGTTGACAGGCTGATCACTGAACTTAAATTGCCCCCAAAGGATGCTTACCATAAGCTTAGGCATACAATTGAAGTCATCAATAACCACATCTCTGCTGCATCTTCAACTGCTGGAAATGTCCAAATTATTGACCCGGCTGTTGGAAATGTTTGTTTTGCAAGTGCTAGTGCAGGATGGTCTTTCACTTTGCAATCATTTGCTAAACTATATGTCAAACTCCATGGCATACCATTCGATGCAAATAAATTTGCGTCCCGTCTTTGGGGAGATTTCTACTTCGATTCTGATACGAGAGTTTTTAAGAAGAAACAACCTGCAAGTGGAGTGGAAAGGTCATTTGTCCAGTTTGTGCTAGAACCACTCTACAAAATATATAGCCAAGTAATTGGAGAACATAAGAAGAGTGTGGAAACAACTCTTGCAGAACTTGGTGTGACTCTCAGCAATGCAGCTTACAAATTAAATGTTAGGCCTTTACTTAGGTTGGCTTGTAGTTCAGCATTTGGCTCTGCAACAGGCTTTACTGATATGCTAGTTCATCACATTCCTTCTGCACAAGATGCTGCATCTAGGAAGGTTGAACATATTTATACTGGCCCTAGGGATTCAGCTATTTGCAGGGCCATGGATGAATGTGATCCTTCTGGCCCACTCATGGTTAATGTAACCAAGTTGTACCCTAAATCTGATTGTAGTGTCTTTGATGCTTTTGGTAGGGTTTATAGTGGTGAAATCCAGACAGGGCAGACTGTACGTGTTTTGGGAGAAGGCTATTCACCGGATGATGAGGAGGACATGACCATAAAAGAAGTAACAAAGTTATGGGTTTATCAAGCTCGTTATAGGATACCCATAAGCAAGGCTCCTCCCGGTTCTTGGGTTCTCATTGAAGGTGTGGATGCTTCTATTATGAAAACTGCCACGCTTTGTAATCTGGATTATGATGAGGATGTGTATATATTTCGGCCTCTTCAATTCAATACTCTTCCTGTGGTGAAAACAGCAACTGAGCCTTTAAATCCAAGTGAACTTCCCAAAATGGTGGAAGGTCTTAGGAAGATCAGCAAGAGCTATCCTTTAGCAATAACTAAAGTTGAGGAGTCAGGGGAACACACTATCCTAGGTACTGGAGAGTTGTATTTAGATTCTATAATGAAAGACCTTAGGGAGCTTTATTCAGAAGTGGAAGTCAAGGTATAGACAAACTTACTTCATTTATATATTGTGTTTCTTTTAATCTTCTGCTATGGGTTAGTGGAAAAAAAAGGTCATCTTTATTAATGGATGTACATTTTCATCTTATGCTGCATAAAAATTTAGGTGGCAGATCCTGTTGTCTCATTCTGTGAAACAGTGGTGGAGTCTTCATCAATGAAATGTTTTGCTGAAACGCCCAACAAGAGAAACAAAATTACAATGGTTTGGAAGTTTATTTTAATGTAGGGTTTGTTGAGAATCATTTAATTTTTAGTTTGCTGTATAACTATGTAAATTTATTTTCTAGATTGCAGAACCATTGGAAAGGGGACTTGCTGAGGACATTGAGAATAGTGTTGTAAGTCTTGATTGGCCTCGAAAGAAAATTGGTGACTTTTTCCAGACAAAATATGACTGGGATTTGCTTGCTGCACGTGGTATCTGGGCATTTGGGCCTGATAAGCAGGTAACATATATGCTTTACATAGCTGAAAACATACTGCTGGTTTCAAAAGACAATAAAATTTTTCACATGAGCCTTACCATCTGTCATTGATTATAGTCTGAATCTCAAATAATTTTTCTTTTTATAGTCTGAAAACTGTCATTTATGTAGGGACCCAACATTCTATTAGATGACACACTTTCAAGTGAAGTTGACAAGACATTGCTGAATGCTGTGAAGGATTCCATTGTTCAAGGGTACACTAAGCTCTCTCCCTGTCCTCTTCATTGGTTTAAATTTTCTTCTTGTTAACAAAGGATTATTTTGTGCAGATTCCAATGGGGTGCACGAGAAGGTCCTCTCTGTGATGAACCTATTAGAAATGCCAAGTTCAAAATAGTTGATGCACGCATTGCACCTGAGCCATTGCATCGGGGTAGTGGTCAGATCATTCCAACAGCTCGACGTGTGGCTTATTCGGCCTTCCTTATGGCAACCCCACGGCTAATGGAGCCAGTGTATTATGTGGAGGTAAAAATATAAAAAACTGTTGACTTTGTTAAACCAATTCAAGAGAAGAAATGCATGTTAGCTAGGGCTTGAAAAGTGTATTCATCTTTCAGTCTCTCTAGTGTTCTTCTGACTTCTTTCCAAAAGCGTGTTGTACCTTTTTATCAGGAATCAGTTGCAGAGAACTTTGGTTGAAATCAATTTTATAAATATTTAGATTTTTCATCGAAGCTATGTAGATTTTTTATTTGGTAAGTAATAGATTTTTGTAAAAGAATGAATCTGTGATTACAGAGCATAGGTTGTGCCTTACAGTTTACAAAGAATAAGAAGAAGCTCCATTAGAACAAACTGATAAAATAATTCCCTATATTGCAATATAAACAGAGAATGAATATTTATGCCTTCCCTTCATTTTCTACAACATAAATGATGGCAAATAGGAGTGGCAACAGGCCGGGGACCACACTCCCCGTTCCCGATCCCCGATGGTAAAAATTCCCCCGTCCCCGGCCCCGATTCCCGACGGAAAACCTATCATCGTCCCTGTCCCCGTCCCCATCCCTATCCCCGACCCCGAAAATTTCCCGGCCCAAAAAAAAAAAACAACAGAAGTAACATCAACACAGATCTGAGACTGAGATCTCATCATCAATATCATCAACAATTAACAAAATCATCAACAAATCTGAGATCAACAAAATCATCACCAATAACATATCTCAGATTTGTGTATCTGAATGTGTCACACAGAGAGAGAGAGAGAGAGAGAGGACAACGGAGGCAATGGAACTGCGACGAACGACGGAGAAGGTCAGCGCGATGGATGACGAAGGAGGTGGAGTGGCAGTGCGAGATAGACAGAGGTGGAGGAGAGGTGCGAGAGTGACGAGGTGGACGGAGGTGGAGAGTCGACGACGGAGGTGAAGCGGCAGTGCGAGCTGGACGGCGGTGGTGGTGGATCTGTGAGAGAGAGAGAGAGAAGTCAGTGAGGTAGAGAGAGATGAGAGACGCGGCTGTGAGAGAGAGAGAAGTGAAAATGAGATGAGGGTTTGGTATATATATATATATATATGTATATAGGGGTAAAATAGTAATTTCACATTGGGGATAAATCGGGCCGGGGAATGGGGACGGGGCCGGGGCCGGACCGGGTACAGGGCTGGGACACTTATCCCCGTCCTCGGCCCGAAACTGTTCAGGGATTGATTTTTGAATACCATTCCCGTCCCGTCGCGGGTATTTTTCGGGAAAAACTCGCTCAATTCGGGGTTGGGGGGTCGGGTCCCCATCAGGCTGTGTTCAAATTGACATCCCTATTGGCAAATTCCAGTTCAGACATACTTCCCAATTTTGAAATGTATTGGGAATGTTTTTACTAGTCACTATCTTCATTCTGAGATCCCCCCTATATATCCTCAACAAGGTCTGGATTTTTACATTTTTGTCAGAACATCCTTATTTCAATCCAGCCAAATGTGGTAGACACACTGATTTTCTCTGTTCCATAATTTCTGTTGTTCACAACTCTTTCATTTCAATCTGGTTCCTTCCCCCTGATTTTCAAATTAGCTTGTTTTTCTTATATACAAGTTGTGATTTTTTTTACCCCTTGAAGGTGTTTTTGAACACAAGGATCCAGTAAACTGTCTCAACTCAGAACAGTTGCATTTACCTCATTTATTTATTTAAGTATCTAGTTGGTGAATTAACTAAACAATGTGTTGTTGTTTCAGATACAAACACCTATAGATTGTGTCTCTGCAATCTACACGGTTTTGTCGCGGAGGCGTGGGCATGTCACAGCCGATGTTCCTCAACCTGGAACCCCAGCTTATATTGTCAAGGTTTGGTCACTAACTTTTTCAAACAACTATTATTACCCATTAATTCAAATCTCTGGAAATTTGAAAGCCCATGGGCTAAAAACTTAATGTTTGAATAATCATTTTTATTTATATTGTGTTCCTTTCCTTTCTGGAAATTCCAGGCATTTTTACCTGTGATCGAATCATTTGGCTTTGAGACAGACCTGAGGTATCATACCCAAGGACAGGCATTCTGCCTCTCTGTGTTTGATCATTGGGCAATAGTACCCGGTGACCCTCTTGACAAGAGTATAGTTTTAAGACCACTCGAGCCTGCACCCATTCAACACCTGGCTCGTGAGTTTATGGTGAAGACAAGACGTAGAAAGGTATAAATATTCTCAGTCATCCTCCTGCTGTCCGAGTCTTTCATAACTTGCAATTCTTATGATTTGAACACGTAAAAGATATGTGGAAGCATGAGACATGATTCTCTCCTAGTAATGTGTGAAAGTTTCTTTTGCCTAAAAAGCATAGACACGTGACACGCCAACACGTTGATTTTAAAAAAATGCAGGACATGAAACACTTGGGACATGTTAAAATTGTATATTTTTACAGTTTTTTATTGTGTCACATAGATAATACTAGTTATATTAAAAATTCATTACTTAAATACCAAGATATCATTCACGCTTGCATTGTAAAGAATGCAAAACAATAGACATTATAATGCACATAATGTGTTCATCTTATAAATGTTGTAAAACATATTTAGAGTGTGCGACTTGTGTTATGAAGAAATCAAAATATTGTTATTATTAAGGGATTCATCACATAGGATGTGCTCGGATATTATGAAGGGGTTCAAAAAGTGTTGCCAAAATGTCCGTGAAGTGTCAGATATTATGAATTTAATTTTTTTAATTAAGATAGTTGAAGTGTTTGACATGCCTTTATTGGTGTCCGAACTTCCTTGTGCTTCTCGGTCTTTTGCAATATGCATACAGCTCTCATGAGTAACGTGCAAACGAAAGTACATACATTTGACCCTCCTCAGACTTGTGGAATGCATTGGGAATGCCCTTGACGTGCAAACAAATAGATTTAAGATTGATGAATTGTTTACATTTTGATCTTTGGCAGGGAATGAGCGAAGATGTGAGCATAAACAAATTTTTCGATGAGGCCATGGTGGTGGAGCTAGCCCAGCAGGCAGCTGATCTTCATCAGCAAATGATTTAAATGGGTAGACTGTAGGCTTCGATGGAAGGGGATGTGTGTTTTTTTGTGTTCTTTGGTGTAATCTTATTGAAGCTGTGAATGTCCCTTTCTTTTTAGTTTCTCCAATATGACAATTTTCTGATAAATTCCTATTACTTGAGAAAGTGAAAGCCGGGGGGCAAAAAGGGTTAAGAACCACTAGATGTTGAATTATGCTATGGTTATTTGATGTTTTATGGGTTCAAGTCTCGAGACAATCACTTTGTGCATTATGCTAAATGTTAGGTGTGTATCCAATTTTCTTCTTTTAATACACATTAATGTGTACTAATTTGGTCTTTTGTATTTTTTCCTATCAATCTTTTTTGAATTCCCAAATTTTTGTTCACCTCTCTCAAACGTTGAGCAAAATTTGATTTAATTCAGCATATATGACACAGGAATTTAGTTTGTTTTGGTACTTAGCCAAATATATAATATTTTTGTTTTTCAGATAGCAACGAACAAGTTCAGATCTTCCATTCTTTTCTAGCATTTTGCTTGAAATGGCCTTTTAGTGAGAGAGAATGAGATATGGGTAGTAAGGTAATTTTTTTTTTTAAAGAGTAATTAAATAATTTTTTATTTTTAAATGAGCATTTGTAATTTTTCAAATTATATATAGACTATTAATTTATAGACTAATAATTTATATTGGGCAGTGTTAGTAGCATCTTGATTTTGTTGAGTCCTTACTTATAAATTTTGAAACCCTCAAAAAAAAAAAAATTTCCCTCTCTAAATAATATCAAAATTATTCTTGTGAAAACATTCTACCCATTGAATGCACACCCTCCCTACACCCTTACATCTCAAAAAAAAATCGTCTTTAAAAAAATCTTAACAAAACCTACTAAGAAGAAGAAGAGTTAATGTGATTACTGTCTCTGCTGTCTCATCCATCATTGTTACAGTTGATATGTTTTCTCTCTCTATATATATACATAATTTCTTAGTTTTCTCATAATAATTTGTTCTCTTATAGGAAAAAAAAATTATAATAATTGGTTTGGTTAGTAGATATTATAAAGTTGTGAATTTAGTAGAGAATTACGCAACAATATTATCAAAGTTACGCAATGAAGGAATAATTTTTGAACTTAATAATGGATTTGGTCTACTTCTGATAACTTCTGCAAGTGTTAAAAATTTTCACCATTCAATGTGTTAAGAAATTTCCATATTCGAGTCTGTATTCCCGATCTTGAAAAAATGAAAACTTTTGCAAGCGTTAATAATTTTGACCGTTCAATGTGTTAAGAAATTTTCATGTGTTGGACTTGTATTCCTGAACATGAAAAAATGAAAACTTCTGCAAGCGTTAACAATTTTAACCGTTCAATGTGTTAAGAAATTTCCATAATTGGACTTGCATTCCTGAACATTACTTATTTGTTCAGAAATGTCTTCCTGAACAAATAAATAATGTTTGGGCCTGTGTTCTCGAATTTTGATCATATGCTCGGGAGTTTAGTCCCAAAAAAAATGACAAATATATTTTATTATTTTTGCTTTTTTTTCAAGAAATTTATTCTTACAAAACCAATCTCCTATAAGCTAAGAACAATCTCAAAACTATGAACCTCTTCTAAACTTTTATTGTTGTACTCCTCTTGTCTTATAGAGTTGTGGTTATAAGAAAAACTTTCACTCATTGTCATTGTCGAAAAAGTATAGACAGTCAAATGGTTGCCACTGTTACCATCGAAATATTACCGCCAAAGGGTTTTCAAGGTTTTGAAGGTAGGTAGGTTTTGAAGGTGGGATTGGGGAAGATATGGATGGTAATGGAGATGGGTGCTCTCATAAACCCTAACTCATGATGTAGCGGGTGTGTGGATTTAATTGTGAGATGGGGTGTCCCAAAATTAATGATATCCTTTTTAGTAATTTTATTTGAGGTTATTATTGTAATTAAAAATAAATAAAAATTAAGAGGTCCAAAATAATTTATAAGGTGCTAATAGCAGTACACTTTTATATTTAAGGAGTATACATAATTGTCCTTATTAAAATTGCATAAAGAAATTTACCCAATTAACCTTTTGGAAGTTCATACGAGAGTTTCATCCCACTTTCTTTGGCTAATATTTAAAAATAGTTTTTGAATTTTTGTTTTTCATATTTTTGGTCTTTGGTAAATTTTTTTAAATTTTTAAATCTACTTAATCTAAATACTAAGAAAATAAAAATATTTGTGATTCTTTTAAAATTTACTAAATATAAAAAAAAAATACATTTTTGTATTTTTAAAAAAATATTTAAATATTTTATTTTTTAAGTATATTTTGAAAAATAAAAAAATAATTTAAATATGAAAAAATTTCACTAATCAACAAAACACTAACAGACAAAAAAGTAAAAAGGTAAATTACACTTACCTTTCTTGAGGTTTCTGACAAATACATGAACCTCTTCTATGGTTTCAATAATTACAGTAACTTCTTCTACTTTAATTGACAATATCAAATTCTTCTATTTCTTGATTGTCGTTTACACACCTAACAGAACCTACTGATATCATCAAAGATAAACACAGAAAAATACTCATAATGCCCTCAAGTGTCTTCAACTCATCTATATATCCCAATACTAAATGTTGCAAGGCAAAGAAGAAAAAGATAGGAGGCAACAAAAATTAAAGAACAATGCAGAGGTTCACAACCAAAGCACAACACAAATATGTTACCACTCACATTAACTATTTCAAAAGAATTATTGCATATCAATAATAACCAGCCAGTTTCCAAAAAAAAAAAAAACATGAAAACACAACCCTAAACTCAAATAAAGTACAAACAATAAAACTATTATTCACAAATAAAGCACAAACAACAAACGTCTACTACAGGTATGTCCCGTCATTCATAATAAAACACAATAACAACAACAATGCAATATATGTTCTGAAAATGCATTATAACTCTCACATTTCATAAATATAGGTTCATTGGATGGATATGTCATCATCAAGTAATAAATGAGGAGTGATGAAGTATAGAAGTAAGACCTGCTACTATGGGAGCAAAGTAGCAATTAAAGTTGCTAAATCAGAGAAAAACATAGGCAAATTGTATTATTCATGCACACATCGGAAATGCTTATTCTGGGACTGGTGCAAACCAGTAAACTCATCTATTGGAGGATAAATGATGATGGAAGACACTCAACCTACTGTTAATAAACACACTTTATCCTATGAAGAAGAAAGTCGTGCAATGAATTTAATGAACCAAATGGGGGCTATGCAAACAAGGATGCAAGTACTTGAAGCAAACATGAGGTTTATGAAAATAGTAATAATCATGAATGTTGTTTTATGTTTGATTTTCCTAATAGTTGCGCTCAAAATGTAATGGAAATTGCAATGACTTTGAAGCTTTTGTAATGTTTTGTAATGAACCTTACGTAATATTTTGTAAAAGACCTTATGTTTTGTAATGCATCTCAAAATGTAACGGATCTTATATAAATACAATGAAGTTATTTGAGTATTGTGTAAATATGCGCATCTAATTTGACTAGCATAATGCCCTATAAACATAAAGACCATTCCATTACGTCATATAAACATCAATTAGGACTGTTTAGTTACATCATTCCTATCATAATTGTTCAGTTACATCATTCTATGGACCATATTTGGCAAGTTTGTTCGATTACATCTTGTAAGTTCCCAAAATGAGTATATATAAAATAATACTTCACGCGCACTTGTAGATACCCCATTTTTGACCGCCTTTAAGACTTGGGCGCTTCATTCTGAAACACTTGATAATAAAATATTATGCTGTGTAATCTTTTGAATCTTTAGCAAAAGAATTCAGTTTTGAAGTTCAAACCCAAACCTTGTACCCCATTTGGACCAAAATTTGTTTTTCTAGCCTAATCACTCAAAAAGCAGCAAAACCAAAAAATGACTGGCAGGCCAATTTTTTGTGGACCGGTCGTACAAAGGATTGGCCGACCGGCCATGTTCGGCGAAGCAAATATTTTGCAGCAGCAGGCTGCTCCCAGTCATGAGATTTGGCCAGTTGCTCTCTTTTGAAGATATTTACGTTGGAAGATAGTTGAAACTCTATAAATACAGCACCTTCCCTTTGAATTTAGGGTTAGAACAATTTCCCAAAGGCTTAGACAATTGCCCAAAGCTTTCCTCCACCTTCTTGAATATAGATACACTATAGATACACCATTGAAGCTCAAACTTGAAGCTTTTTTCTAAAACTTTGAACCTAATTTCATATACTTGAGAGTGTTTAGATTGAAGTTTGTGAATCAAGAAACTCTTCCTCTTTTCAAGAAGTTGAACTTTGAACCTTTTTCACCATTTTTTCTCTTCTTTTTTTGTCTTTACATATTGTTTTCAGAGTATTTTGGGCCTAAAATAGGTGATTTAAAGAAATAAAAAGTGGAGGGGTTAGCTACTCTTCCTTAGGCTTGTTTGCTAGATGAAACCTCTTGACTTTATTTCATTTTTGTTCACTTTTTCCACTTTCTAAAATTGATTTTCAGCACTGTTTTGTGTTGTTTATGGGCTGTTTAATGTGTTAATTTATGCTTTGACGACTATAGTTGTATTGTTATAAATCTTCACGGATTTGGTGTGTTTAGGATATAGCTGCCAATCCGTTTGAGTTGATTGTTTTACTTTGTTATAGCTTTCCCTATATATTTTGGAACCTTATGGTTATGGGAGGATTAGAGCTTAGGCTTAGCCACCCCGCCACAAGTTTGCTTAACTAGCTATAAACTTCTTGCTTTCATACTACCTTCAAGTATGTCCATCTCTTCCTTGAAGTAACTTCATGATAGGAAAGAGGTAGGTAGAATAGTCTTGTTTTTCATTGTGTTTAGTAAAGCCTTTCCATATTGCTTCTAAGATCATCATACAATAACTTTGTGATTTGGTGTTATAATAATTAGTTAATTAGGCCATTCGGACCTTCTTGTAAAGAGGGCAAATTTGTAACATTTGATGTATGTCTTCCAACTCCCATTTCTTTCTCCCTTTTATTTACATGCTCACTATAGTTGTACAAAGCATCACGTTTTTGTTTCCATCATTCTCATGCCTTGCATCCATTTTAGTATGCATTAAAATTCGGCTCATCATATATAATGTTTTTACTATTTCCTAAATGATTATGTGCACCACCTCATGCTTTGAGTTGCTTCACATGTCATATTAGTAGTTGAATTTAATAGTTGCATTTTGTATGTGTTGTATTAGTTATGTGCATTTTTAAGATCATACATTTTGCTAACTATCTTCTTTTCCTTTGGTTTGCC